ACAAACAAAACACACTTCCCGGGGCTGTCTAATTAAGACAATGCCAGAAGGTCTATTACAGTTGATGGACTTTGGTACAGGACTTTGCCACATTGCCAGCTTTGAATTATACTCAACTCCTTTCCTCCCAGTCTGTACTCTTCTCTCCTGAGGGTCATTTGATTGCATGTGATTATTTGACCAGAGCCCAAAGGCTGGAGCTGTGAGTTGAATGCTAAACAATGAATTATATGACCAACATTGAAATTTCAAAAGCATTCAGAGCCCTGCAAGTCTGAGGGCATTGAACATTGCGGAGGCTGGTGAGGTGGTTCAGAAGATAAAGGTACCTGTGGCCAAGCTTGACTACCAGTTTTAGATCCCCAGGACCTATATGGTGGAAGGACAGAGCTGACTCCCATAAGTTGCTCTCTGATGTCCACATACAGTGCTTGCACACACATTCAAAATAAATAACTGTAATTAAGAGAACATTGGAAATCTTGTACATGTTTTCTTAATGATAATAAACATATTAATTTTATTAATAAAATTGCCATTTTGTTCATTTTATGAATTCTTGTTAAGAAGGCTGCGTCTTCATGGTTTGATTTTTATGGGCCCATAACAAATCTTTATATTTTCTGGATATTAACACGTTCGTTATCAAGTAGCAATTGTTTTCTGGTGTATTAATTATAGTTTCCACCAACCAGATGTTCCACATGTTATGTGCATGGGAAGTGTTGCAAAAGGAGAGAAAACCTGGTTCTTGATACTGTCATTACAACTTTTGAAACTGTGCTTGGACTGTACAATACAGGGACACTCTTCATTTATGGAGCAAAAAAGGCAACTTCCTTAATAGACTCAAATTCTCTCTTTTTGTGTAATCTCTAAAGTGGAAAATCATTACAGCAGATACTTACACATGCAGAGCTCTAGTTGAGACCTTGGTCTGACAGACATTGGGAAAGTATGGTCTCCCACAAAGACCTAAGCTCCTTGCTAATGTAATAGCTTTCCCACATTTTAGTAATCTTTGTAAATCACAATACGGAGAGCTTAGGCACTGTGAATTATCTTTCTGAGAATTTCTTGCTCTTGGGGGTAGCTAGAGGATAGAACTGGCATGATCTTCACTTCAATTAAGGAAGAACTAAATGGAAATGGGATCAGCTTGGTCAGTCAGTCTCAGCCTTGCATGAGATATTATTTAAAACTGAACAACTTGCTGGGCGGTGGTAGCACACAACTGGGCGGTGGTAGCACACAACTTTAATCTCAGCACTTAGGAGCCAGAGGCAGATGGATATCCAAGTTCACAAACAGCCTTGTCTACAGAGTGAGTTCTAGGACAGCCAGGGCTACACATAGAAACTACACATGGAAAACCAAAAGAATAAAAACAAAAATACCCCCCCCAAAAAAACCTGAAAAAGTCAAGCTTTGAGAAATGTTTAAAAAGCAAACCTTAAGGATTATTACTACTAAATTAGTGTGTTAAAAGAAAGTAGGTTGCCACTTTGGGGTATTTTCAGTCCTGAGGTTAGTCAATTGTGAGCTAGGACAGCTGTCCTAGTGAGAACACTCATATAGGAGTCAGTCTTTTCCACAAGGTGGAGAGTTTTCCCATCTCTGACACTATAAAAGACTGGGTTTGGATAGGTTAGGTCTCCACAGCCTGCACAGGGGCACAGAGAAAATTCTACTTTCCTGAGCCTTCCTCTAGACTGTGCATGTGGGTACTCTGGGGAGTATAAGGAGCCTGGCTTCTCCCCATCACTGGGAATGCAAAGGTTATATATCCATGAAGCATTATACTTTTATTTTAAATGGATTGCATCACTCACAAAATACAAGACTAATAGGACCAGCCCTATATATGCCTAAATATTTTGACTCCAGAGGTCTCCGAAAGGCCTGCCATACGACCAGTGTTCTTCCAATCTGATGACTCATCTCTGCTACTTTATTAGAATACACCCACAAAAATGCACAAATATATTTACATCTTGAAAAAAATTCCTCAAAGAATTCAAAGGTAGCAACTTACAATCCTGACTTAATCCTTTATTATCTTTCAAGAGAACTCAAAATATCTTCCTAATAGCAACCGTGTACCCATACAATAATGCCTTCAATTCTTAAGGATGTGTATCATACAGATTAAAACTATAGAAGCTACATGCCTTGAAATGAGAATATAGTTTTGGTCTCTAGCACTTGCACTTGAATCCAAGCTCTAACTTCTTCACTTCTAACCACAGTTAATTTTGCTTTGCACGGAGGGGCTGGGGAATCATGAAAGGTAGCTAGTGCATGACTGGTAGCTCATATTCTCTGTGCTAATTTCAAGGTCTCCATTTTACTTCTTGAATTGATGGTTTTGTGGTACAAGAGGGGAACATAGTGTCTAGAGTTCCTTCCAACTTTCTATTTCAATCTTCCTAATCAGCACTATAAAGTTTATATTTTTTCACTTCACAGATAATCAAAAATGAAGCATATGTAAGGGAAACTACTTGGCTAAGGCCACAAAACAGGCCAGTGGGAAAGGTGGCATTCCGGGGAAGGTGAGCAGCTGTTACCCCCAATCTTTGCAAAACATGGTAAGTCACAGAGGTTACCCAAAAGCAGCCAGAGGCCTCATACTGTGGTGATATTTTGTTTATGATCTAACAAATGAAGCTTGCCTGAAGATCAGAGTGCAAAGCTAGCCACACTAATTAGCCATAGAGACCTTGCAGTGGTGGTACACAGCTTTAATCCCAGCTCTCAGGAGACAGAGGCAGAAGAAGGCTCTATGTTATATTCAAGGCCACACTGGGCTACATGATCCAGTCTAAAAGAAAAACAGAGCTCATTCAAAGGTGGTTCCAGCACTTGGAGTGGCATGCCTTTAATCCCAGCCTTAAGGAGGTGGAGACAGAAAGAGACATGGCTGGGCAGAGAGAGGAATAAAAGGCAGGAGGAGACAGGTGCTCAGGGCATTCTGAGGATTCTTAGAGAAGGATGTAGTCTGAGGATGCAATCTGAGAATGAAGTCTGAGGACAGGATTGCCATTGTGGTCTGAGCAATGTTAGAGGTAAGAACTCTAGTAACTGGCTGCTCTGCCTCTCTGATCTTCCCACTCTGACCCCCTAATAGCTGACTCCAAGTTTTAATTAATACCAATTAGAATTCGAGCTACAGCCTCCCTTAGCATATTTCTTTGCAGATTCAAAAATCTGGTGCTGGGGAGGCGGCTTTGCAGTTAAGAGTGCTCTCTACTCCTCCAGAGGTCCTGAGTTCAATTCCTCGAAACCACATGGTGGCTCCCAAAAAAATATCTAGGAGAACAGGTCATGCATATAATATCAACACTTGGAAAATGAAAGAATCAGGAGAATTACCATGAGTCCAAGGCCAGCCTGGGTTACACAGCAAGATAAAAAAGACTCTATGTAACGGCAACTAGGAATGCTCCTCCCTACCCCACCACTGCACAGATCCGTATCCAAGTGCTTCAGAGTCCGAAGAAAGGAGATCTAGAGTTCCATACTAGCCTAGACTACTGAGTAAGGTTCTGTTAAAAAAAAAAAAAAAAGATCAAACAAACAAAACCTGGGGCATAAGAAAGGTTAAAGCAAAATTCAGCTTTAATTTTGAAGATCATGAAGAAGCGTATATAGCAGAACTTAGCAGAAACTAAGTGTATGGCAATTCTTCAGAAAATTTGTCCTATAGATGAATTCCAGGAATCCTTTTGACTACCCGAGTGTCTCAAAAGCCAAGCTTATAATTACAATCTATGAGAGTTATGTCAAAGGCAATTTGTAGAAAGGTCAGGGAATATGAAGGATCTGAGCACTTTCCATGTTTTGATTGGAAGAATAGCAAGTGCTACTTCCTAGGGCTGTCGGCGTAATTAAGACAATTCCAGAAGGTCCATCACAGATGACAGAGTTCGTCACAGGACTTGACACATTGTCAACTTTGGATTACACTCAACTCCTTTCCTCCCAGTCTGTACTCTTCTCTCCTGAGGGTCATTTGATTGCATGTGATTATTTGACCAGAGCACAAAGCCTGGAGCTGTGAGTTGAATGCTAAACAATGACTTATTTGACCAACATTGAAATTTCAAAAGCATTCAGAGCTATGTAGCTATGAGGTCATTATTAATATAGACCTTTTCCTAGGGGGAGCTACAGAAAGGAAAGGAAGGAAGGAAGGGAAGAAGGAAGAAAGGGAGGGAGGGAGAGAGTCCCACCTTTCATTCTTACTGAGGTATAGCTCCTTTTTTCCCCCAAGAAATTATTTTTTTATTAGTTCAAATTAGAAACAAGCCTGCTTCACATGCCAATCCCTTCTCCCTCTCCCTTCCCTCCTCCCACACTCCCACCAGCCCTCCCACTCCATACCCCCTCTGTTCCCTAGGGAGGGTAAGGCCCTCCATGGGGAATCCCCAAAGCCTGTCATATCCTGGGCAGGGTCTAGGCCCTTCCCCATGTGTCCAGGCTGAGAGCCCATCCTTCCAAGTGGAATGGGCTCCCAATAAACACTGATCTACTACCAGAGGCCCCATAGAGTGCCGAGGCCGATGGTTGTGAGCCACCATGTGGTTGCTGGGGATTGAACTCAGGACCTCAGGAACTACAAGTCATCTCTCCAGCCCGAGGTATAGCAGCGCCTTTTAAAGATACAAAATGTAGCTGGGCGTTGGTGGAGCATGCCTTTAATCCCAGCACTTGGGAGGTAGAGGCAGAGTTCGAGGACAGCCTGGTCTCCAGAGAGAATGCCAGGTTAGGCTCCAAAGCTACACAGAGAAACCCAATCTCGAAAAAACCAAAAATAAATAAATAAATAAAAATAAAAAAATAAAAGATACAAAATGTACTAAAGCTACCACTTTTGTCTTTGAAGACCAGAGTCTAGAAATTGTGTAGCTTTGTGAACACCCCTCCCTTTCTACTAGGGGCCAAAATGCCCTCTGTGTCTGATGTCACAGACAGGTCAGGCAGCGACCAAACTCTGTGTTGATTTCTGCCTCCTGTAAGCACCAAAGGGAAGAATTCCTCACAGCCTCCAGCTTTTGCTCTCGCAGCTTTCCAAACAAACTGGGGCGGGATGGGAGTGTCTTCTTGGCTCTGGAAATCAATCCTCCTACCTTGTCCTGGAGCTACCCTCCGCCTTTCCAAGGCCCTCCCTTCGCAGTGA